CCCCCTGCCTCCTGACCTCTCCCCGGCCCCTCTGACCTACCCCCAGCCCCCATCACCTACTCCAGCCCCATGACTTCTCCCCAGCCTCCATGACCTCTCCCCGGCACCTCTGACCTATCCCCAGACCCTCTGACCTCTCCCCAGCCCCCATGTCCTCTCCCTGGCACCTCTGACCTACCCCCAGACCCTCTGACCAACCCCAAGCCACTCTGACCACTCCCCAGCCCCTCTGACCTACCCCCAGGCCTTCCAATCACTCCATCAAGCCCAGGAGCTGTGGCCTACTGCCCCTTGTCTCTGTCTGTGCTTTGATTGGGCAGGTCATTATCCTGTTGCAAGGTGGAGTTTGGCTGTGAAAGATCTTAGTGAAGATGCCATTTTAAAATAGCTTGACTGAAGATACTTATAGCATTTTGATTCATCCCTTTATTTTCTGTTTATATGTAATTCTGCTGACAGGCTTTCACAGCAGCGAATTCTATGAAAATGTAAAGAATATTTTTCTGAAATTGTGAGAAATCTCTTCACTCTTTCTCTTGTGATGACATTCCATAACCCACACCAAAGGGAGTGCAGTTTGAGAAGTCTGCTCACAACCACCTTCTCAAGGGGCAACTAGGGACAGATAATAAATGCTGGCCAGCCAGTGACTCCCACGTTCCATGGATTTATATTTCAAATAATTTAATCACAATACCACCATTTTGATGTCATCAACAAATTGAGATTCTCAATTCTTATTTCCAGAAGAAGTTGGCTTTATTGTCAAAATGATTTTTATTTTTAATAACTATTATTTGAAAAGAGCAATAGGAGAATATGCGCTGTAACTGACAAAGAGCAAGTGATATGGGGAACCATAATGGTGAACTGATGATTTCGATTTAAAATCACAAGTGAATTAAGGTTAACGTCATGTGACAATATTTACATTCCATTTATCTTTAGTGTGGAGGCACTGGTGTTGGACTGGGCTGGACAAGGTCAAAAAGCACACAGTTTGTAGACAGTCAGTCAATGTGGCATTTTATAAATTCCTACTTTAGAAATGAAACCAGTCTGACTCCAAACCAGAACACAAACAGATTCTAAACAAGGCCTCACATCTAACATGCATTGTCTGACCTAAAATGTCACCTCATCTTTACACTAATAAAACCTTTAGTTCTCTCAGGTCAGTGACATGAAAGAAATTCCAGGATTTATATATACATATTAATCAATTAAAACCTTCTAACTGATTAAAGATTTAACAGCATCTTAGGTTTGTTTAATACATCCTCATCAGTTGTGTGATACTTTGATCTTTTACTTATTAATTCTGTTTTCTGTGTGCTTCTTTCTCACTTCATCTGATGAAGGGATTACACTCCGAAAGCGTGTGATTCCAAATAAACCTGTTGGACTATAACCTGGTGTTGTGTGGTTTCTGATCCCATTTACCTTTAGATATGATATTTTATTTGTAACATTTGTAGTATGTAATCAACAACTAACAGAGTAAATGGTTGGATTAGTAGTTCTTTCTAAAACATTTTTAAAGTAGAGAACACTACCTGGTGATGTTACTTCAATTTATGATATTAAACCACTTTTGTTTGGTGGTGGAGGGAAATTCTGTCTTGCATCTGGACCATGTACAATTTTGGGGTCCTTACTTGAGCAAGAATTTTCTTGCTTTGGAAGATGGCACAAAAGGCTGGTTCCTGTGATTAAAGGGGTTATCTTCCAAAGAAAAGTTGACAAAATCAGATGTCACATGACACTAGGTCATAGTCCAACAGGTTTATTTAAAATCACAAGCTTTCGGAACGCTGCTTCTTCATCAGGTGATGTTGCTCAACTGATGAAGGAGCAAGGCTTCGAAAGCTTCTGATTTTCCTCACCCGAGTCCAACACCGGCATCTCCACATCATAACTACTCGTGTGATATTGAAAAATGTTGTTGAAGTGAACAAAGCAAAGAAATTGATTGAATGACCATTAGTTTACAATCTAAACTTTTGTTGTGACCTAGTCAACTGTGTGACCTGGATTTATTTTGGTGGTTGTTCTTTTTAATAAACCTGTTGAACTATAACCTGGTATTTTGTGACTTCTGACTTTGTCCACCCCAGTCCAACACCAGAATTTGCACATCACGGAAAGGTTGAGCAGGGTGAGCCTATACTCATTGAAGTTTGATGAGTACTTGTACCATTATTAAACTTCAATAGTACATGTGAGACACCGTGGAGGGATGGTGCATACATAATGAAAAGAGCAGCAGAGAATTGTGTGAAATAACTCATTAGAGCTCACTGTCAGAAACCCTCCATGAAACCCCACAACATTTACACTTGCCAATTTTTGTTAGCATAGTCTTTTGGCTTACCAACCAATATTTGGACAATCTGTCAATTACTGTTCTTCTGAATTTTATTGGTACTTGGCCAAAGTAGATTTAAGAAAACATTCTGCAGATTTTTTATATTCTTCTCAGTCTTGGGAGGTACTTTCCCTTTAACTTTCCACCAACATCCATGTATGGAAGTGACTTCTAGAAACACAAGTAAATGTGTCCCACACACCAACCAGCATGCATAGATCCCCTGACTGGCTACTCAGCTGTTGTGTGGACATGTATTTGTTATTTTCAATGCAAAACAGTTGTATATGTTAATATGGTTTAGACATTTTGTGAATAATCTTTATATCTTTGCTTGAATAAGTTTCAACTGCAAACTAAATTAATTTGCGATTTAAGGGCTTGGCTAATCTGTTTCTGCTACTGAGCTGTAACTCAATATAAAGCATCGTCTCCCTTTCAAACTTTGTTGTGGATATTGGAAGAAAGGAAAGAAATTGATTCACTACTCCCCAACTCAATTGTAAAACCTTCTTCAGTTTCTGTCTCATTAATTGCTTTATTCTTTTTTTCCTTTTTTATTAGCTATTTGCAAAATGGGAAACCAAAACCTAAGGGAAACAGAGGAAAAATTGACATAATGGTAAGTTCCTTAAGTAACACACTGCGAATGTTACTATATTGTGTTAATTCTTCCATGGAGAACTGCATTTATTACTGGGTAATGAAGTCACCTTCACAATTATTGCTGTATTAGAGACAAAAGCCATTGCTTTCATTCACATTCTGCTCTCTTTTACTTTAAAAGAGTTCAAAGAGTTATTGAAAGACTGTCAGTTGTACTAATTTACTGAGATGAGGAGAAATTTCTTCACCTAAAGAGTGGTGAGCCTGTGGAATTCTGTTACTGAAAATGTTTGAGGCCAAAGCATTGAATGTTTTATAAAAGGAGTTAGATATAGTTTTTAGAGCGAAAGGGGCCAAAAGGTATGTGGGGAGAGAGCAAGAAGAGGAGCTGGAAGATCAGCCATGATTATATTGAATGGCAGAGCAGGTTTGAAGGGCCAAATAGCCTACTTCTGCTCTTATGTTCAATGTTTCTATGTTTCATAACTCCAGCAGTAACAGTGAGGCCACTTTATGATGGTTTCATGTTTAAACTGGTTTCATTTGGTATCTTAGCAAGATATAACATCTTACTTAGGATTAAATGTCTGAGATGGATTCTCACTTTATATTTTGGTCAGTATCAAGATCTGAATGAATTGTAGGAAAGACTCTTGTTGTAAATATTGGTTAGTCTAAGAATCAGTTATTTGATGTATCCTTAGATATGAGATTTGGAATGGACTTTGTGGAAATTAACTTGGTCAGGTTAAAAATGTTTCTGAGGACTGCACATTACCAGTAACTGGCTGTTTCATTCTCACTGACTTTCATGGAAGGTTTCTTTCTATGAGAACAGTGAGCTTTCTCACATGATTGTCCCAAACGTGCTACATACATGGTGACAGTGATACAGAGCAATTGGAGACATTACTGGGATGTCATGATGGATAAGAGGGGACTGGGAGCTCTCAAATGGGGGATTTCAGGCCCTGCTTGGGGCAATTAAAAAAGTCGTACTTTGACTGATTTGAAAATGCTATCCACAGGCTTCAGTCTGCACTTCATCAGCAGATCATTCATTATCTAAAAACGCACATTCAGAAAAACTGCCTTGTGCGATCATGTCCATTGTATTGTGCATACTAATTGCCTCCCCGTCATGTCTGCTAGACAAACATAATCAGACAAAGGCACTTAAAAAATGTCATCTGAGGTTTCCATTTCACAAATACATTCTGTAAGAAGCCCTGGAATATAATGCTATTTACAGAAGTGAAAGCTTTTTGATGGTGATAGATCACAAATGACACCTATGTGCCCTCAGTAACTTTGCCTCCTCTGCCTCCCTCTGTATCTAAGGGCAAACCCACCTTCTGCAGCTAGAGGGTGGGCTGGAGGAGCCTGTGGTTGGTCCTATTTGGCTTGGAAGACTTGCATGGTCAACTCCCAGTGCCTTTGGGCCTACAGGAACCAAGTCCAGGGAAAGTCTCCAGCCCAACTGCAGGCTTACCTTCCTTGGCTTAATCTTCCACAGGCTCTGGGATGGGTGACAGGAATGGGTTTGTCAAATTACCAATACTGAGTCTTATCCAGTAAGAGAATTGACTGAGGTGGAAGTCTCAGAGCTGGTGGAGGGGGCAGGCATTCTCTGAAGTTTCAGTAAGTACCTCCTGAGCTGAGGGTCTCCCACACTGCTATCATCTTAGCAGAGGTTTGTTGGGTGCCGCTAGTGCCTGGATAAGTGAAGAGAGGAAACTGGTTGCTTACAAGGGTTAACAGTTGGTGCAGATTAAGAATGATCTTGAACTAGTGGGTAATGTAGAGCAGCACAGGGAAACCTCTGGGGCTGTTTGACTATTGAGGTCCCAGATGGGTGGCCATAATTGTCTCCGGTGAGATTAAGGATTTTCTCCTTTCCTACAAGGAGGGAGCAGCCGGGTGTGTGATACCATATGATTTTCTCGAACTTCTGGAACCTTGTGGGATAATTTCTCTTGTCACTAATCAGCAGGAGGGATGGAATGTGAAGGAAGTGGATGCAAGAATGGTTAGTGGTGAACCAGGAGAGATGGTGAGGTGCCTCCAGCCAGTGGGTAGGAGCTTCAGAGGGTAGGGAGGGTCAGTAACTTGAGAGGTTGAGGACAAGGAGGGTAAGAACTAGTGAGTGGGCATGAAGCAGGCAATGGTGAGAGTTGTAGTCCACAGGCCTGGGTCAGTGGTATTTGCAGTGGCAGAGTTTGAGTGAGTCATGGCCCTGTCAGTGAGAATGTCAGGGACAGGGAGAAAACGATGACACTTATCCTTGCAGAGTGTAGAAACTCATTAATCTTCTCCATGAACTTCAAAACATCTGTTTCCACTCAGGACACAGCCCTGACCCGGGCTACACTCTGCGCTCAGGCTCCTGTGGTTGTGCATGTGGTATCCTGAAATGGGCAGTAGGAAAAAGGGACTGTCTTCCTCATTTCCACTCCATCCACCAACTCCTACAGGTCCCTGTTGTGGAGCAGAGAGTGAGCTCCGTTTGTTCAGTGATAACAGCCAAGCTCCACTGTGTCGGGGCCAGTTCTTGGCTCGCAGCATTTGAGGTGGGTCCCAGCAGCAGCAAACACGTCCCCATCTCTGAAAACCAGAGTCCCAGAGAAAGGTGCCCAAGAGCCAATGAAATGAAGGGCAGGAGATTGCTGGTAAAAGGTCATCGCAAGCGAGGGCAGACCAAGGACCATGAATCTCACTTGACTAAACGCTAACCGAAAAAGCAAACAGTCTGTCTCTCCCTGTGTTTGTGTTCATCACTGCATCTGGCAATTAATATATTGAAATTACACTGTGCAAGGATTTGGTCTTGAATATTTAATTCATGTTTTATTCATTTCCTTTCTGCATTTTGTTTCACAGAGACACCAAACCATTTATTTTCATTAAATTATCTCCTTTCTTAAAATAGCAGTTACAGAAATTGCATAATAAAGGACCAAATATTTGTGCCATTATCTTCAGACAGAAATTTAATGGCTACATTTTGATCAGAATTGTGTGAGAATGTTACATTCCTGATAATGCTGTAACTGGAAAGATCACTAGTGCTGTTTTCATCTGCCTCCATAGATTTCATTCCTTAGCTACCAATTTCATTTCAGCCTGTCCCCTCACCTCACTCCTGCCTCCAGCTGAACCAGGCCCCTTGCAGCTGAAATCCTCAGATCCTGATGTGAACGTTCATTTGTTTTATAATTATACTTCATTTTCAATCCTTCTTAGTTCAACTGTATCTAAAATCCTGCCCTCTGCCTCCTAACTCACACCAAGTCCCAGTTGCCCAATACCTCCGTGTGTACCTCCTGGCCTACAGTACTTTCTGATCCAGCAAAGCCTCGAGATTCTTACCCTTGTGTCCAGGTCCATGGCCTTATCCCTACCTTTCTCTGTTCCCTCCTCCAGCAATAACAGTCTCTGAGAGCCCCACCTTCCTCTGATTCTGGCCTCCTGCCCATCTGGCTTCCTTTGCTCTGCACTACACAGCCATGTCCCCAGGCTATGGAATGCCCCTACCTAAAACTCCCAGCTTCTGTCTCCTTATGAGCTGCATGTTAGTCCCTACCTCTTTCCATTTGCACATGCCACAGTATCATATACATTTGTTGATGCTCTTGAGCAGCACCTTGGAATGCTTTGCTATAGTAAAGGTTCTATGTAAATGCAACAAGCTGTTGTTGTATATCATCAGCCCACATCTTTCTCCTAAGAATTATTTGGCAGCAACAAGAGAAGACCTTTTAAACCAAAGGCCATTCAGTCCTGTCACTGCCTGGGCCTCAGCTGCAGAGAAGATGTCAGTGGGTTTATCTGTGTCTCAAAACCCTCTCAGGCTGACAACAGTGAGAAGTGCTCTCGATCTGAAATATTAATGTTTGAAAGCCTCTTCCCTAACCCAATCCCTCCCCTACCTGGGAGATGTTTGGGCATAAGGAGAAAATTAGAAGGAATAAATTACTGCTCTTTTAAAAAAAATGTGAACCCAATTGTTATGATGTCAACAGCAACATGTTGAGACATGTTTCCTTGTGAGGTGAGCCGTGTCACATTGTTGAAGTCAGACTATTTTACTCAGTCAGCTGCAATTAAAATTAGTCTTGCTTCATTTTCCTTCTTTTGGAACTAACACAATTAAGCTCTGGTTTCTTGAATTGATATATGAAATGTTCCTTTGCTGCATGTCTGTGTTTGTTGGCCTGTTACTATCTCACCAACTCTTATTGAGAACTGTGAGGCATTGCCTCTCAGGATAATGCAATGTATATTTGCAGTTTCTGCCCTGGCAGATACCACAGCTTGTAACATTTTGCAAGCAACTAACAAAGCACACAATTATAAATGAGGAAACATTCAAGTGAGCGATCTGTGAGTAAAACATTGAACTGAAAAGAATCTGAATTTTACTTTCATGGATTTAAGAGATGATCAGAAACAGGGGCACAGCCACCTGTAGTGATTGTAACGGGGCCTCATAGAATATAAGTTCCTTGATTGGGGCTGTTAACCTGGTCCAATCAGGGAGCCCTGACTGACAGATATAAACACAAGTGTCAGAGGTTCTGTTCACTGTTAGAGCTGGTCTGAGGGCACTGGATCAGTCTCAAGGTCTCTCCTAGTGTAAATAAAGAGTGACTTAGTGAGGAGATACCAGCCTCTGTGGAGTCATTTCAGCCACCAACAAATTTATGCTCAGCACACAGACTGGAATTGTTGAGAGTGCACATTAATGTGATGTCTTTTTTTCAGAATGTGCTCTTGTCTGGCAATTAAGTTGTAATTGGAATTGGAATCATTGTTGTACAGGGAGCAGCGAGATTTATAGCTGGCCTGATCTCACCCGGAGGAGGTGGCAGTGAGACCACCTGATGGCCCTGGGCCTAACTTGGCATCTCCTTCCTTGAAAGTAAGAAGCAGATTTTTCAGGGAGGGTGGGGTGAACACTGGCCTCAAACTCTCCCTGAGCTGGTGGTTTGCTGTGGAGAGGGCACGGGAAGTTGC